CTGTCGTAATTCAGAAGCATGAAAGAAAGAATAAACTATGGTCAAGAAAAGACACGAATGGAAGCAGCTGCTGGACGGTAAAAATTAATATTTAGGTTGTTTTCTTATAAAATTGGTAAGTTTTAGTCTCTCACTTTAGGCTTAATTTAATTTTTAGTCTATTAACTATCACCTTGATTTCATTTTAGTCTAGAAATTATGTTTTATTTCTAAATGGTCTATTAACATTCAGATTCATTTCAATTTTGTCTACTTGGTCAAAGATAACGAAAAACTTCCTATTATGTTAGAGAACAGTTAGTCCTTTGACTATATTTTTTTTTATCTTTTAGTCTTTAAATTTATATTTGTTATAAAAATAACTTTTTTACTTAAAATTATTATTTATAGCTTTGATATTAGATTTTTATACGGGTTTTCCTATTTCTTTAATTTGTTATCAGAGCCTGAAAGTTAATAGACTACTTAGAAATAAAACATAGTTTCTAGACTAAAATGAAATCAAAGTGATAGTTAATAGACTAAATATTGAATTAAGCCCTCACTTTATAACATGACAGTTTTAGTTTTCTATCTTATAAAATTAGTAAGTTTTAATCCTCACCTTACAAATTTGATAGGTTTTAACTCCTTACCTTATATTATGATATTTTTAGCCCATCACTGAGACGAATTAAAGAAAATAATATCTAATATTATGTTATAACGTTCTATTAGTTCTGTTAGTTGACTGTTAACATTTGTTAGTATTCTATTATAAAAAATATAAAATTTAAATTTAATTTTATTTGTTAGTTCTATTAACGAGATACTAACGGATGCTAAGAGTCAACTAATAGCATTAATAGAACATTATAACCTAATATTAAATAAGGGTTATTTTCTTTAATTTGTATATATAAGAGGCTAAAAGTGTCATAATATAAGATGAGGGGTTAAAACCTACCAACTTTATAAGGTGAGGAATTAAAATCTACCAACTTTGTAAGGTAAAGAGTTAAAAGTGTCATATTATAAAATTAAAAATTAAAACCTATTAATTTTGTAAAATAAATGGCTAAAAATTAGTTTTAACCGCTGCTGGACTGCCGAAACCATGCATTTAATGACGGTTCATTTGGAGTTGAATGCTGGTGAGGGAAGAGTGGAGGAGGACCGATCACCTTAACTCATCATATGGATTTACTGCTCCTTTGTCAAATGCCAACACGGCTCCATAAAAACAGAAGAACTTTTTTGTGGTCCCTAAACGGAGAACATCACAGCCTTTGTATTTTTCTTTGTCACGCCCTCATGGCACTATCAACGTCCCGAACCTCAGTTACAGACAACAATCCTTTGAAAATACCTTTAACATGCTTCAGAGGGAAAAAGGGGCGGTGGCCAGCACCACCATGCATAACGACACGGCAGTTGTGGAGGTAGAGATGTCATTTTCTCTCTTTTTATTGGGTGCTCTTTCTTTCCTCAAGCATTTTCATTGCTGAATTCTTAGTTGAGTTAAAAAAAGGATGTCTCATCTGCCAATATCGACACCCATTAATTTGCATCACAAGATAGACATGTCTAGAAGCTGGAAATTTTTGGGTATTAATGAGTGTTTTAGTGAAGAATTGAGAGAACTTTACCCCATTTGTTGACATTATACGTTGCTTTTTTGGCACATTGGAGGACCATGGAAAATTATGCAAAAATGGAATAAATTAAGTTTCTACCTAAGGTGGGGTAATTGTCACATTTTTAATGCTTAATATTAAATTAATTTAACTTAAGTAATTATTATATTCTTAATTTTAATTCATTTTTACTTACATTGTACTTTTAAAAAAAATTTTAATTTAAGGAGTATAATGATAAGTTAAAATAAAAAAGATATAATATTAATAATTTACCTATGTGACAAGAATACCACTATATTTTTTTCTATCGATAATAAAAAATATAATAAATTGTTGATTTCATTAGTTAACTATAACAACAAAGATGAACAATAATTGAAAATCCTTTTTGATCAAATTAAACTATTATTTAGCAAGAATTACATATAGAAAAAAATCTCAATTATTATTTATATGCTATAATTAAAAAGTATTATCTGATATACATATTAAAAAAAAGTGAAAAAAAATTATATTTTAAAATAGCTAAAGGTATATGCATGGACAAAGAGTATTAATGAGTTTGGAGAATTGAAGTGTCCCAATTAATCCTCCATGCTTTTAGGATATGTATCAAGAAAAGCTCTTGATTCAAGCATTGCGGTCCCGCAGATTGGTCCTGATTTTCGAGTACTCCAAATTCCGATTGTTTCTTGAGAGTATGAAGCAGATATTGCAAGAAGAAGCAATTGCGGTCCCGAAAAGTTTTTTTTTTTTTTCAATAAAAAGTAAAACTTTTTTATCATTTAATTCATTTCACTCATATATTATGTTATTTAAATTTAAAATATTTTATTTCTATTAAAAGAAGAACAGTATTAACTTATTTAGGTCATTTACAATCCCTAATTCCCATGCATCATAGAGCAATAGTTCACCATTGACTTGTTAATTCGAATGGAAGGAGTTTGGTTTCTCTTAAATAAGATTTCGAGTTTAAGTTTTGTGAATGAAAACCAGACGTTATGAGAGCTTTCCCTGGAGTCCGACACGATTCGATTCCAGATTAATTGTGATCCAATGTGGTTATCAGATACTAAGAAGTTAATACTAATAAAAAAAAAAAAGAAATAAGAGCAGTGGTTCAAGAAAACTTGATCCATTGCGGATTTGTACAATCCTAGAGGAAGAGAGACTCAGAGAGCAATTAATAAGTGGAATACCACTACAACTACTTAACATTCCCCTAGAGTCATTTTTGTGATCTTCAAAATCATTATTAACCCTTGACAAGGATTTTCGTATACAGATTAAAGTCACGGTAATTCGTTTAAGAATCATATATCCATCATTAGAGCTGGAAATCGACAGAGAAAGCTTAGGAGAAAAAGAGTGCATTTATAAGTGGTTTTCTGTGGCCGGTACACCAAGACTAGATAATGAAAACGGAACAAAATGGGAAAATGTTGTCGTGTGGAATACTTTAGATAACGGAGACATACCTTCTACGGCATCCCATCTCTAACAAAGAACTGAAATTCTGCATACTAATAAATTCATATACAGCAACCCATACTGAATATTTACATAAAAATCAAAACTGTCCAGGTTAGCCCTTTGAAGGCAGACCGACCTTTCAATACAAATCTCAAATATGGAAGGGTGAAATAGACAACAAATAAAACAATTCCTTGAATCAATGCAATAAGAAAAAAGTTGCCTTTGTGTTGATGTTAGATGTTATGTCTTGGTTTCCCCGTGTCACTCCACAATTAATACATAGCAACATATTGCATCACACACTGTGACACTTCCCCTCCCCAGTGGATGAAGTTGTTCAATAATAAGAACTTCATCAAGCACTATAATATGTTTCAAGAAGCCAATGTGACATAGCTTGATTGAAGGATTTCCCTAAACCAAACTAAGGTTACTGCAAAAGTGGTTCTTCTTCGTTCTGCAATACCTTGAGCTGCCTTTTTGCATACACTGTGAAGATAATTGTAGTCACCACTGTTAGACAAAAACCAAGAACATTGAACACAATCTGTGGAGCTGAAAGAGCCTGGTGTGAATGTGAAGCATCTGCCAGAGTCTGTATGAGGATCCCACTACAATAACCAGGATGTGTAAGAGAGTACAATCTTCTAAGAACCATTGTCCAGTAACAAATATTTGTGTGTGCTTGATCTTGCATGAAAAACTCTATTTTGCATCTTGCATTAAGGAAGATGCAGAAGGTGTGGTGGACTATAATTACAAACATATTCTTGCAAAGACACGTATGTGCAGATGCAGGCATGTTGTGTAAGGGCCAAAGGTTAAAAAATAAACTAAAAGGCACAAACATCACAGAGATGAAAACAACTAAAATTATAAAAAGCTTCACCACAGGATGGGGTGGGGAATCTTACGTGTAGATTGCCACAAAAACTTCAGGCACCATTCCGACCATGGATCCCAAGATGTAAGGACCATATCTAACGTTTGTTGCCACTGCACAGTAATTATAAATGATATAGGGGAATGGAGAAATCCGGATTAATGTTACTGCCTTAAACTGATGAAACCAATTTCCTTCACCAGCTGCTCTTAGAATGGCAGCTTTCTTAGGATATTTTTCTAACCAGCCCTGCAAAAAAATAGAAACTTTATGTTAAGAACATGTTTTCTTTCTTTTTTGTACAAAGGGAGTGGGCTTATATTGCTATATCAAAAAGTCCAAAAATTACAAGAAGGCCATGAGGTGATTGACTATGTCGAGAATATAGTTGGAGAGCATAAACATGGACAAAATAAAAATATAGGAACAATGGACGCACTTGAATCCTGTGAAGGAACAGTGAACCAATAAAGTATGGAAGTGATACGCCCACAGCTGCTGCAGATATAATTAGTAAAAATCCATATCCATAACCAAATGTCATCCCAGCAACCCACATGGAAGGTGAAGATGGTAAAAGTAATGTAGGGAACAATGCTACTGAAGCAAAGACCAGAACTGCCAACACTGGTGTGCTAAATGTTCTTGTCTCCCAGTTTATAATTGGGATTAGCTCCTGCATAAATCAGATCAGCAGTGAGATTCAGTAGAAAGCAAATATAAAGAAAAAAGGATGTAAGCAGTTCCAACCAAATAAACAAACAATATTCTGGCTCATGTAGTGGATGGAGAATGCAAATTTCAAGCTAATTACAGCAGTGTAGTCTTGAAGTTAGTTGAGCAATAGAGTTCAAGCATCAGTAGACTACAAGATATTCATGTGATAATTACAGACTATTAAGTTCTTAAATTGTTACTGTTTCATGTTAAACCATGATTGCATAAGAGCACCATTACCAGTAAACTTCTTCACGGTTAAGTGCAGATATAATCTAAGAAAATACTTAATCCAACATGATAAAGCCATTCAAATCAAATAATCAGCTTATTTTGCTGCTTACATTTTGAAAACTAGAATGGGAATGAACATACAGAGTGCCCTAATTTGGTGAGGGTTAATGTTCCATCAATAAATCCTTTGGTTCATAAGCACCATAGGATGGATATATACAAGTAAGAGCTAATAAATCAATGATATGATCCATGTTGCAAACCATACTGCAATGATAATGTTCCTTGCCATATATCAATCACACACAACTCAATTCAATAAAACTCAGGCAGAAAGGCATGATCTCCATAAACAAACATAAAAGCATAGGCAACATGGTCACAGCCAAATGGGAAAACAAAAAAATTATAAAGCATGTTCAGTCTACTAAAAAATTAACCAAAAAGGCCGAATGCATCATAAAAGGAAATAGAAAAAAGGCATATAATCTGCACAAAAATATTAAAACTTCTATTTCTGAAAGCAATACAAAGTCTATTCCAAGCCCTGAATCCCGACAATCCTAGTTTAAGAAAGAATCATCAAATCATTCTTTCACGTAGCAATTCAACAAAACCCATATGGAAACTCGACCTAGTAGATCACACAAACGAATTGCCCAAAAATTATAAAGAAGATAAAGAAAAGGAAAACCAACCTTGTCCATAAAAAAGGGTCCAACCCATTTGAGGAAAACAACAGCAAGCAAACCTAAACTCGCAAACAACAGAACCAACTTGACCCACTTCCACAGAGACCCTCTCCATCCAGGACAGAAAGCAAGCTTCTTTAAACACAAACCCTCCCCTTCCGCTTCACATTCCTCCTCCAACAACCTCTCACTCAATTCCACACACCCCGCTTTGCAATCAGCAGCGTCACCCTCCACTCTCAACCTCAGCTTTGGAACCAGCTCCTCCTCCTCCCCTCCCTTCTTCTCATGTTCATAAAAAGTCATTGAAATCAAAACCAAAAAAAAAAAAAAAAAACCCCAAATTTCTCCTTCGGTTTCTTTCCCAACAGAAGAATCAGATGCAAAATGTGGGGAAGGAGGAATTGGGGATGGTGGAATACCGAATACGTGAAGAGAGGATGGAGAAAGAGAAGACCGGTAGATGAAGGCAGAGAATTGATGAAACGATGCAAGAAATTCGTTCAGATTTCCGATTTTCTCAATTAAATCAAAAAAATAAAAATTTCTCTTTTATTAACGGGGAATTTTGTCGTTATAATATGATCAATACTAAACGGCGCCGTTTATTTGTTTCGTTTCGCACCACGTGGCTTAAATAGGGAATTTCTTACAGTGACACTGACAGGTAATATAAAAGTACGATGATGACGTGGAGTGTTAATCCCGCGCCCATTGCGGGCCAGTTGGTTTGTTGTTGCTTAACCGTAATGCTTAAACCGTAATGGTAAGTTAGTATTTTCAGAAATGTGAAGTAAAGCCCATCTGGCGTGGATTCCGCCTTTTATTCTTTTTATTCTTTTTTTTTAATGTT